CTCCTTGGATCTGGAAGGAGGAACTAGTTCTTGATTCAAAAAGTCCCTCCTGAGGCAGCTCACAAGATGAGTCTGGCCAGCTCTGACTCACAAGAGTGCAGTCTCACATTATGGCTACTTAGGACAGGTCATGGAACAGTCCATGGGAGCTCTGGACTGGCACTCACAGGTGTTTGGCCACATGGGACCAGGTTGAGATCCACATATGTATTCTCTAACTTGAATCTCCAAGGGACCTTGTGGAGAAAGCACTGAGGTCCCCTCAAATCTGCATGTGAGCAAGTAGTTACATTTGCAGTTTGAAACAGGTGCCTATGCTGCCTCCTGCCTCTGAGGAGGTAAGTAGCCTAGATAAAAAGTGATCCCTTGGTTTCTTTGCAACCCCCACCAAGAGCCCACTGAGCCAAGTAGCTCCTCACCAGCAGTAAACTAGAACAAAATGGAAGATGTGGATTAAATTATTAACTTGCTGGCAAGAAAGACAAGTGTTACAGTGCCAAAGGGGAGGGACTAGTGAAAGCGCTGGAAACCCGTGTGCACTGCAAAAGTGCCACGGCCCTCCTGGACAGGTTAGGTCAGTTCCTGGCGGTTCATTCTGCAGCTTGTGCCAAAGTTGTGAGCACAGTCCCTCCAGGTGGAGGGATAAGGGCAGCTCCTGTCACTCGGCCTTCATGACACAGGAAGTTGAAAGTGGCAGAGGCATTGGGCTGCAAAGAGAAAGCCTGCATCAGCTTGGCTAGAGATAGGACTGGGCCCTGCTCAGCACTCCCAAGTGGCAGGACTTACAGTGTCCTGCACTTCCACCGCGATGCCCCGCTGCCTCATGGCTTGCAGCACCCCGGGCTGCAGTCGTTCAGTCCGGTCTCCGGTGCCCACCACAATGATCTCTAGGGAAAGATGGCCATGATTAGCTTATGGCGGGTCAGTGGGGAGGCTGGGGCGGGGTGGTTTGCTGGGGCTGGAAGCACCTCAGCCCTCCCCTTCTCCAGTACCTATTCGCGGCTCCAGCAACCAGAAGAGAGAGAAGCTTTCTTCAGTGATGTCCTGGTGAGTTCCTACCTGGGTTGGGAGGAGGCAGGTTAAGTACAAGTTCGCGCAGCTTTCCCCACAGAGCCCTTACCTGTTCCACAAAGGGGTAACGGAAAAGCCAAGTTTGCCAGGGACAGAATCAGGGGACAGGCCTGGGGCTCTGGACCTCTACTTCCTCACTGCTCACGTTCCACTGCACGACCGAGTGCGGGAGCAACGCGCAGGGCCCAAGCACACGATTTCCGTTGACCATGAAGCCGAGGCTGCTATAGCTGTCGATATACATGGATTGCGGGGACTCGCGTTGCAGCAGAGAGATGCGCGTCCTCTGATACAGCTCATCGTCCGCCGGCGTGAGCCGATGCCCTCGCCTTGGAACCCTGCGGGTGGGGTATGCTCAGGTTCTAGGGAGCCGTTGGGGGTGGGGGTCGCCGGTCGTGGAAGGCGAGAGAGTCAGGGACGCTGGGTCTGGACTCACCACAGCAGCTCTGCGAGGTCACAGCGCAAGGCGGCTCGAGCTCGGCACAGGCCGCGAAGAGCGAACGAGGCAACCATGGCGGACCTGCGTGCAGGGAACCCGGCGCTAGGTCAGCGGAGTCGTGGCGAAGTTCTCCGCAGCGCGCTGACAGCGCCCTCTGCGTCCTGGAGGGCACCGCGCGAGTCGGCTGCCCCAGCGCGGGATTATGAAGGAGCCGGCCCGGGAAAACTGTCCCAGGAGGGCCCGTCCCCTACCGCGGCTCCGGTGTCTGCACCTGCCGCCCGCCCCGCCCCAGGCCCCCACAGACCGTCCTGGGGGAGCCGGACACCTGGTGGCGTGGCCGGCCTCAGAGCGCTGCCTGGGCCCCCGCCGCCGCTTGGTCCCCGGCCCTCAGCTATTAACGCAGGCTCCCGGAGCCTGGGGCGGGGCTGCCGCGCACCTGGTCGAGTCCCTCACACCTGGCCAGGGCGTGGGGCCAGCATCCAAGCCCCTAATCCCAGGCTTTGGGGCGTCGGGTTCCGAGGGCGGAGCGGCCAGCTCAGGTTTCCCCCGCACTTCTGCGAATCACGCCCCTCCTCAACCGTCACCAGCGCGACCGTTGGCGTCGTCGCCGCGCGTCTCCCGGGGCGTGGCCACGCGTGGATTGGCTTCTCAGGAGCGCGAGGGGGCGTGGCTGATTGGTTTCGCCTTAAAATGGCTCCAAATCTGCGGCCCCAGCAAGCGGAAGGGGACGCCGTAGTAGGGCGATTGTAGCTGTTCGGGTGGGAGCCACCGGGCCGAACGGAACCAGATATTGAACTAGACAGCTGCTGGAGCATCGCCCTGTCGTCGCTCACGCTGCTCGCGGCCCGAGAATTCCCCGACCCCCCGCCTTGAACCGAATCAGAGGGCCTACTGGCGCGAGAGTCGCTGGCGCCCGCGCGGGTTTCGGGCATCTTCGCGCCCCCACCGTGTCGTGGCCTCAAGGGAATGTTGACGCGTCTGCTACCCACGGGGCCGGGCGGGAGGGAGGTTCGGCATAGCGGAGGACGGTCGCAATGGCTTCCCGGGGGTCCTATCGCCGCCATTGGGTCCCCAGCGCTCCGGGCGCTGGCATAGTCACGGGACAAAGGGCCCGGGGTGCGGGGGTGTCCCTGAGGCGGGCGCGCGGCTTTACTTCCTCTCCGGCCCTACGGGTGAGCTTCCCTCTAGGCTGATCTCGAAGCCCTTCCCACCACCGTCTCCGCACTGGTGGCCTGGCTTCATGGGACCAACAGGAGTAATCTTACCCTGCGGATCTAATCCGGATCTGGACCGGTCCCAGGGGAGACCCCCACCAACCTTCCTATTGTTTGGGGGCCCAGGTGAGCTCCTCGTTCCCACTACACTCGGTTTTACCGCCCACTCGTAGGTCCGTCTCCTGGTACTGGGAATGGGGGTCCTGATCTGGCCCCAGGACAAGGGAACCACCCCCCCCGCCCCGGGGTCATTCCCACCCGCCACGGCTGGACAGCGGGCAACGGAATCCCAAAAGCAGCTGTTGTCTCCAGAGCATTCCAGCTGCGCTTGGATTTCGTTCCCTGCTCTCCTGCCAGAGCAGCGTCCTGGCCTAGGTGGGGTGGGCCAGCCTCTGACCCCCATACATACTTATTGGGTCGCTCTGGTCTCCGACCCTGTCTCAAGTGCGCCCTCAGCCTGGAAGTGGTGGGCGTAGACGTCGGAGAGCCAGGTTTGTGGTCATCTCTGGAACCTGGAGTGGCATTGACAAGGGAGGGCGTTTCCAGGGCCTCTGGACAGGGCTGCGATCGCGGTGAGTCCCACAGGGCCACCGCAGCTTGCTAAAGATAGCCCTTCACTTCCTGGGGAAAACCCACCCCAACCGTCTTCGTGTACCGAGAGTAGCTGTAGTCCCCAGCTCCGCCTCCAGCCCCCAATCCTGTTAGTAGCTGCCCCAGGGTCATGCGCCTGCGGAATGGAAAGCGCTTTGGAATGACACGATCACTCCCGTTGAGTGGGCACCCAAGAAGCCATCGGGAATGTCGTGTCCGCCCAGTGCTCTTTCTGCGATCCCAGCAGGGCCTTGGAGCCCTGGCCCAGAAAGGGGTCTTGCCAAACTTTTGCTGCCCCTTTCTAGGGTTCTCTCCTTTCTGAGCCCTGGGCACTCTCACTGCTTCAGAGCAGAAATCATGGTTTTCCCAGCACTGTGTGCTGTGTCAGGTTCAATCTCCATTAAAAAAAATAGGAGAAAAGGGGATTTAAGTTACATTGAAGTGAAAACATTCAGGATCCCTGGTGGGACAGAGGAAAGAGCTTTGTCTCTCTAGTGGAATGGGATGCTCCAACTGGGAGCAGTCCTTTAGCTGGGGCTTCTCATGATCACATTGTTTATTTGGCTCAGAATGGCTCCTTGCCTAAACCAGGAAGCCGGAGGATCCCTGTTAAAGTACACAAGGTTAAAAGAAAAGCATTAAAGGCTGGTCATTTGGGGGGAGCCTGGCTGGCTCAGTCGGTTGGGCATCCGCCTTCGGCTCAGGTCATGAGATCTCTCTCGTCCTGAGTTCGAGCCCTGCACTGGGTTCTGTGCTGACAGCTCAGAGCCTGGAGCCTGCTTCGGATTCTGTATCTCCCTCTCTCTCTCTGCCCCTCCCCCACTCACTCTCTTGTCTCTGCTTCTCAAAAATGAATAAACGTTAAAAAAAAAAAAAAAAAGCAGCTGGGGGCGCCTGGGTGGCGCAGTCGGTTAAGCGTCCGACTTCAGCCAGGTCACGATCTCGCGGTCCGTGAGTTCGAGCCCCGCGTCAGGCTCTGGGCTGATGGCTCGGAGCCTGGAGCCTGTTTCCGATTCTGTGTCTCCCTCTCTCTCTGCCCCTCCCCCGTTCATGCTCTGTCTCTGTCCCATAAATAAATAAAAACGTTGAAAAAAAATAAAAAAAGCTGGTAATTCTGGAAACTATCTTGATGGATCTAATTCCTCAAAAATCAAGAGAAGCAATTCTACGAGAGTAGGCATTTATCCGATGTAAAGACGACCCAAATCGCAAAAGAGGAAATACTTCTGAATGACCCGAAACCGCAGAACACGAATTCTTTTAAAAATGAGTTTTTAGGTGGTCGTGAAATGTTAGCTGGCTGTAATGTTAGCTGCCCTATCCCACTAAACTCATTTGGAGCTCCTGACGTTTGATCATGTGTCAAATGTGGGGAATGAAACGTTATCACAAATACACAGAGGTAAGACTTCGAGGGGAGAAACAGCGATCTGGGCCCCACCCAGTAGGGAGGATCCTTTCCCTGGTTGCTAATGCAGGTGGCGAAGACAGAACCCTAGGTCTAAGATGGACCCGGAGATTTCGGAACCTAGGCCAGGCAGGGCAGACCAGCCACGCAGAGGGAGAGCTGGGGCCGAAGGTCGAAAGCGGCTATCACGGTTCCCTCTGGCGCACCTGTCAGCTCAGGGGCCGCCACCGGATACGCGCCCTGGCCTGTCGGTCCTCCCGGAAGTTCGACCTCCCGGGGTTTTGCTTCCGGTTCTGCTGGTTCCTTCCGGTCGCCATGGCGACGGGGCGCCTGGGGGTCGGAGAAACGCTAGGGGCCCTCAACACGGCCCTGGGGCCTGGCGACCCCGTGTGGTTCAAGGAGACGCGCGCCCGCCACCTGCGTGCCCGAGACTTTCTGGCGCCGCGGCCCGCATTACAAGCGCGCTTCGGGGACGGACAGGTGGGCGCGAGCGGCCGAGTGGGGACATGCGGCGGGGGGCAGCGCCGCAGCCCGCTCATCGCCCTTCCTCTCGCAGGTGCCCGAGCGTGTGGTCCGTGCAGTCGCCGGCCTGCAGGGCCCCGGCGTGGCCCCGGTGCTGCGCTGCGCGCCGACCCCCGCGGGTCTGGCGCTCCAGCTGCAGCGGCCCGCCGTCTTCGAGCGCGTGCTCGGCGCCGTGGCCGCCTATGTCGCGCCCGCCGCGCCCGCCGCGCCGGGCCCGCGCGTCCTCCTCCACTGTCCGGCGCTGCGCAGCGCCCCCGGCGCGCTCCGCCTGAGCCAGCTGCGCGCCGTGCTCGTGGCCGATCATTTGGCGCGAACTCTGCGCGCTCACGGGTGAGCGCGACGCGGGGCCAAAGAGGCGGGGGTAGGAAGCTGGGACGGAAGCAGCTGCGAGTGGGAAGTAGGGGGAGCTGCGCCGGGTGATAGGGCTGAGGCGGTCGCCCTCGCTTCGCAGGGAGAGTGTGCGCCTCGTCCCCGCCGTGCGAGACCCGCACATGCCGACCTTCCTGCAGCAACTGCGCGTGGACTGGCCCGCTGCTTCGGAGAGAGCCGCCACCGAAGCCCTGAGGAACCGCGCGCTTGCAGAGCTTAGCCCTGCCCAGGAGCGGGGAGCCCTGCCCCGCGGCGTCCTGGGCACAGTGTGCCTGAAGGAGCTGGTGCAAGAACGGGGACGCGCAGCTGGCTATGACCCCAACCTGGACAAGTGTCTGGGTAGGAGCTGGAGCCTCGCAGGGCTGGAGAGAAGGTGGGGACTCTGTGCTCCTGGCTAGCCTCAACGCCCTCGTGTTCTCTGCAGTGACTGAGGATCTGCTCTCGGTTTTAGCCGAGCTGCAGGAGGCTGCGCGCTGCTGGCCAGGGGACAGCCCTCCATCCCTGGTTAGTGACTGACCCGACTCCGTAGGCTGACACTGGCCAGCCGAGTGGCCTGTGTTCGCTCGGTGACCGTCTTCCTACACACCGTAGGCTGCGGTCCCAGATGCTAATGCAGACCGCTGCATGGTTGTGCACGTGGTGAGCTGTGAGGAGGAGTTCCAGCAACAAAAGGTGGACCTGCTTTGGCGGAAGCTGGATGACCAGGCTCCGCTCACACAGGTAGGTTTAGTGGCTTCCTCCCCACCGCCACCAACCTGAGGGCCCTTGAAAACCCTCAAGCGTCCTGTTGGCCAGTGTGTCCATACGTGACACCTGATCCTGAGGGGGAGGTCAGGCTTGGTGAGTGGGTATTTGCCGCAGCTTGTGAGCATCCTGAGAGAAGGTGGGGTCCGGGGGCACATCCCAGAGAACACTGAAGAAACTGGACTGTGTCCTGGGGTGGGCTTGAAAGGCGGGGGGAGTCCAGGCACCAGATTTAGGCTTCTCGAAGGATTTGGTGTTGGAGGGTATCGCTGCCTAGCTGAGTGCCTGTTCTCTTCCCGACAGAAGCACCTGGTCTGTGGCCCGGTGAAAGTGGCTGGTGCACCCGGCACCCTCACTGCCCCCGAGTACTACGAGTGAGTGAGACTGGAAGGGAGGCCCCCGAGTCAGGGTAGTTGAGGTGGAGGGGAACTCCTCACCACCCCACCTGCCCCGCTCACTCTTCTCCTCATGCAGGCTCCGGCACGCCCAGGTGTGCAAGGCGTCAGCAGTGAAGCACGGCAGGGACCTGGCACAAGGTGAGTGCGCCCGGGAACCCCTAGCTGTGCTTTGCAGGAGGGGTGGCTTGTCTGCTTCCCTGCCTGTGGAGGCTGACCGACTGCACTCCCTCAGACCCTGCCTGGACAGAGGTCTTCAGCGTTCTCTCCGTGGCGACCATCAAGTTTGAGATGCTCAGCACAGCCCCGCACGGTCAGGTGAGCCTGGGTGACCTACAGGATCAGGGCTTGGACAGCACGTGTGGTGGCTGCAGCTGTGCCCCCATTCCTCAGCTTCTCCTGGCCCTGGCCGACAGCAGCATTTCCACAAAGGGCACCAAGAGCGGCACCTTCGTCATGTATAACTGTGCCCGTCTTGCCACACTGTTTGAAGGGTACAGGCACAGCATGGAACAAGGTCTGTACCCCACTTTTCCACCTGTGAGCAGTCTTGATTTCTCACTGCTACAGGATGAGGTGAGTGCCCTCCCCAGGTAGTTGGGCACCCACAGGAGGTTGGGACCTCATCTCCCAGCACCCTTCTTCCTCCCAGGGTGAGTGGCTCCTGCTCTTCAATGGCATCCTCCCCTTCCCAGACCTGCTGAGCCAGACAGCAGCCCTGGCATGCACAGCCCCAGGGCTGCACACGACCGCACGCACAGAGACGGTGAGGCAGAGGAGACGGGGACAGACACTGCACACTCAATGCTTTATTCTGGATTGGGCACAGGATCAGAGACCAGCCAGTGACTTAGTCTCTTGTCTCTAGATGTGCAAGTTCCTGGTACAGCTCAGCATGGATTTCAGCTCCTACTATAACCGCATACACATCCTAGGAGTAAGTGCACAGCAAAATGGGGTGGGGGGTTGCGGGGGTGCAAGGGAAGCAAAGGACGAGACCAGCAGGCCCTTTCTCTCCAACAGGCGCCTCGACCACACCTTTTTGGTCAAATGTTTGCCCGTCTCCAGCTTCTGCGGGCCGTGCGTGAAGTGCTTCACACCGGCCTAGCCACGCTGGGCCTCCCTCCGCTGGACCATATCTAAGGCCACAGAGACCCCAATATCTAGGAATGTTTACAGAGTCATCACCTGAAAAGAAGATACACAGATTTTGTTAGGGACCTGAAACCAAAAATAAATTACTTCTATTATAAAGCCTGGTCCTATTATACACAGTAGGGCATATTTTTGGTCTGCCCAGATGGCACCCTACTCACCTCCAGCTCCTGCTCTGACGTCAGGAACCCGCGGCTGCCGCCTCCTCCCCTCAAGGCACACTGGGCATGGGCACAGACAGTCACTCCTGTTCCACTCCGTCTGCGAGCAGGCCCCATACCCAGCATGCCGGCCACCGCGGGACACTTCAATCATACCAGTTGTAAACCTCAAGCCCCTGGCCCCCAAGAGCACAGCGGTGGCCAAACTCAGGGCTCACAGGCCAGCAGTCCATGTCAGCCACATCTGGGACATGGTACACGGTACTGTTCATGAAGGTGGGCTCACCATGCCCCAGACGCCAGAAGGTCAGCCGTTGGTCGATGGAGGCTGAGACCATAAGGCTTGGGCTTAGGATCTTGAGGCCTGTCACATGGGCAGCATGTGCACAGGGGACAGAGTATTCCTCTAGCACATGCAACTGGGGCACCAGCTCAGCACCCCCAGCGGCCTCTTCCAGCTCTGGTGCCTCCACAGCCAGCACAAAGACATGGAGGGAGCCATCCTCACTGCCACTGGCCACAAGGTGGCCCTCACGTGTGGGCAAGGTGTGCAGGCTGTTGACACCACAGCTATGAGCCTGGAGGGTCAGGCAGGGGGTGCCCAGTCCTGGAGGAAAAAGATGGTTATCAGGGCCTCGCTGCCACATGGGTGAAGGCAAAGTGTGAGGTGGGGAGGGACAGCCATGGTTGTACACTGGCTACTCACGGTAGGGAAGCCCGGGGTCCGTTGGAGGCTCCAGGGCAGTGGAACCATGGTCTAGCACAGTAGTGAGATCCCAGAAGGCCAAGCTGCCATCAGTAGCTGCACTGCACAGGAACAGCCTCCTGGGAGCCAGGGGAGGGCAGCTAGGTCAGTGAGGGGGATGGAAAGCAACAGGAGCCCCCACCTGGCCCATGCAGGACCGCCATGCAGCCTCTCTCACCGCTGCTGGTTGGGTGCCTCATGTGTAAAGGAATGGACCTTAAGGACACACCGCTTGTGGTGGAAGGTTTCAGCCAGGAGCTGCAACCGCCGCCCAGAGTCCTGCAAAAGAAAGAGCCTGGGGGGCGGAGAGTGGCCCAGCTCAGAACCCATTCTGGACAACCTTCCAGGCTTTGTCTCTTGGCCCTACCACCCCCCATGCCCATTCTCACCTCACTGCTCCATCACTGCAGGCTGCAGCCACAAGGGGGCCAAGGCCAGGCCTGTCGAGCTCACAGATAGCTAGGGACATATACCTGCCGAGACCAGACACAGGTCAGGGCAAACCTGGGAGCAGCTGTAAGGGGCTTGCCCTGCGTGACACCACCCTACACTCCCACCTAGCAATGCACATTACCTGGTCTCTGGATCCACCTTGATCATCCGGTGCCGATTGCGCTGCCGGTCCCAGTATTCGTCTAGCCGGTGGGATGAAAGGTGCATGACGTGGCAAGCGAGGCGGCTTGGGGTGCTGGGGTCTGGGGTGACCATGATGCTGAAGCAATGCATCTCAGCCCGGCCCCCCGCAGACACCACATGAGCAGTCAGGCCTGGCCGAGGATCCTGAGGGCCACCTGGGGTACCAATGCCCCACACAGCCAGCGCACGCACCGAGGAGATGTGATTACAGACAGCTGTAAGTGCATGGGCCGAGCCAGTAGCTGTGGGGAGCGCCAGGACACAGACAGTGGTGTCCTCGCTGCATGTGATCACAATGTCAGTCAGGCCAGGCCCCTCGCTGCCAGGCTCCAAGTAGTCAGGCTGCATGAAGCTGGGCATCTCAAATTCAGGTCCCAGAGTGATGGTGCCCACACGCTTTACACAAGTGATCTCACGGCCATGCAGGCTCTCCCGGAGGATCACGTGTGGCCTAGTACAGCCACCCAGAGCCCGGTACAGCATGACATCCCCATCCTTGAGGTAGGCAAAGGCCATAGCCGCCTCGGTATCAGAGAAGGCCCAGGAGCGGTGCCCTCCACCACAGTTAACGATGTGCAGCTTTTCATGGGATCGGGGACTCCACACCACAAACTCATTGGCATGGAAACCCAGGATGACCATACTCCCATCAGCCATCATACGGAGACCAGCCACCCAGTTCATGCCTCGACAGGACTTCTGCCTTAGGACTGGCTGGAGTTGGCCACCTCGCACAAAGAGCTGGTAATAGGCGCCATCACGCCCTGTGGTATACACGTAGCCACCATGGCAGGTGACCGAGGTCACACCCTGCTTCCCGTGCAGAGAAGGGAGGGTGGACACAGGGCCCCACTCAGTTTCATCCCCACCACTGCCACTACCTGCCTCAAGTGCTCCAGTGACAGCTCCAGCCTTGCCCCCAATCCCAAGATCCTTGAGCAGAGCTGGTCTGGAGGGGAACAGCAACACAGAGCCCCGACGGTCCCCGCACACCAGGAAGTCACCAGGGGGTAAGAAGGCACTGCATGTGTGCCATCTCTGCTTGCTTGGAGGCAGTAGGTACCGGCAACGTTCCTTTACAAAGATGGCTTTGCCAGAGGGTGCGGCTGAGATTTCCAGGCAAGCCACCACACCACCAGGGCCCGATGCCAGCAACAGGAGCTCCTCATAGCCACGCAAGGCCCAGCTCAGACTATGCACCTTCCCACGGAACAGGGTCAGGTCCACAGCTGCTGTTGGAGTGTTGATGGGGACAACCTTGACACGACCCTCCCCATTGGCCATGGCACACAGTCCAAAGCCCTCAGGACCAGGGGCTGCCTCCAGGAGGCAGTAGGACTGGAAGCGTTTATCCTCCAGCAGCTGCTCCCAGCACTTGACCTCCAAGTCATAGAGGTACAGGATCCCTGTGTCAGTCACTGCCAGTAGTCGCCATGAGCCAGCCAGTGTCACAGCCTTGAGGGTACCTGGCCTGCTACGGGACTTGAAGCAGAGAGCTGAGACCCCCGAACCTGGGTACCCACGCCCTACCAAGTGCCACAGCCGGATGCCTGAGTCATCACCCCCAGTAACCACCCAGGCCTGCCTCTCATGGGCAGCTAAAGCCCTGATGCCACGACCCTGGTGGCCCCGAAAGGCCTGAAGGATCTCACCTTCGTGGCTCCATACCAAGCAGACACAGTCCTCTCCAGCACTGATAAGGTAATTCTCTAGTAGCTTGACCTGCCACACACGGGCACTGTGCCCAAAGCAGTGCCCAATATTCTGTACCCGACCCCCAGGCACCCGCAGGTCACCCACCTTCCAGATGCGGACACTTCGGTCTTCTGAAGCTGTGGCCAACAAGCCTTTACTTTCCAGGTATGACATGCTGAAGATGACACCCACATGCCCACTGACCCGTCGGTCAGGGGCCACAGGCTTATTATCTATTAAGGCAGCTGCTGGGTACCAGACAAGGAGCTGATTGGAAACAGCACCTGCCACTATGGTCAGCTCCTTCCAGGTGTCTCCGATCAGACAGGCTGAGGAGAGGGTGCACCTGTCTGTGCAGGGCACCTCCTGCAGCATGCACCCTACCACAGGGTCGTATAGCACTACTGAGTTATGGCCCAGGGCCAAGGCTATGTTCCCCTCAAGCCAACGTGCATCCCAGATCCAGTCAGACATGTTCCATAGGCCAGAGCGCCAGAGCTCCCGGAAGCGGCCCTGTCCCCAGCTAACTTTCACAACTCGGAGTCCCTTGCTCCCAAACACAGCCACCATAGCCTCCGAGTCAAGGTCTCCGTTTGGTTCTGGTCGCACCCGGAACCCATGGATAAGATAGTGGCCAAGCAGGTTCTGCACGCGCTTCATCATCCGCAGATGGCCACCAAAATCGAGGCTGTACACCAGGACATCTGGCCCCTCACCTAGACAGAGGCAGAGAGCCACATCAGAACCTCACCTCTGATAAGTCATGAAGAGACGAGGGCAGGGAAAACTCAGGTATGTAGCCTGCGAATGCATTAGAACACACGATCCTGCAGGCTTGAACCCTGGACAATCCCCGGCCTCAGCTTCAGCTGGACTTTCAATGCTGACATTCAGATACTCAGTTCAACCTGACTTCCTCAAACACAGGCTCTTCCTCGCCCCACCTACTTCTCATCCTTCCATTGGAAGCCTGTCAGCCTTTCTCCCAAATCCTCAGCCTCATCTGCCTCTACACGCCCTCTTCCGCCCCCCCCCCAACCCACCCCTCCCCCAGGGCAGAGGCTGTCCCTAAAGGTGATCCTCCCACCTTGGGGCCACAGTAGAACGCCTCTGGATTTCCAGAAGCTTCTTCCTTGAAGCTCAGATGTGAGCATGTTCAACACTGATGAGAAGAACCAGGAGAGGCAGCCCCTACTTTGACAGCCAAGGTTCCCATGACCCTAAGCCACCTCCTGCCTGCCCTGCAGGCACTTCCCACTCTACTAGTTCACCTTCAAGTTCTCTCAACCATTGCCACCCTCTACTCAGCCCCAGCCCCAAAGCAGGAAGCTCACCACTTACTCCTCTAAACTTCCCACATCTTCTCATCTTCCGAGTGCTCATTTTCTAAAGATTTTGCAAATCCTCCCCACCACAGTGACTTTGGCCCAGGATATCACCTTAACCTGAGATGACATTAACAGTTCCTCATGATATTCTTAGCTTGCAATCTCCATTTTTCGACATTCAATAGACATGCACTGAGCATCAATTATAAACCAGACAAGGAACTAACTACATGCTGGAGTAGTGAGTAAGACAAGCACAGACCCAGACTCCTGCCCATCAGGCAGACAATGAACAGTATCACCCAACTACATTGTTGTAACTCTGGTAAGTTCCAGGAAAGAACTATACAGGTTGCTTTAAGAATATAAAAGAGGGAAATCTGTTCCAGAGGATTTTCCCTCCAGAAGACATCTGGCAATATCTGGAGACACACTGGTTGTCACAAATGGGAGCTATGCTAACTGGCAACTAGGAGTAGAAACCAGGGATGCTCCTAAACGTCCTGCAAAGCACAGACAGCCCCCCCCCCCCAAAAGGATCTGGG